GAGATTCTGTGAAAAATAGTGGGTCCCCAGCTGCATGGCTCCCTGTGCCAAGGGGAAATAGAAAATACTATAATAGACTCTTTTATCTCTATTCCCTTTTCCTAGATGAGCTTTTTCCCACTGGAGTACTAGAGCAGGGCTTTTTACCCCCTTCTGGTATTCTGCTGGCCAGGGGCCAACCTTACACCAATATGATTGGAGGGGGGCTGGGTAGGCTCTGACCCAAGAAAATGCCCTTACAGGATCTGACTTGAGGCCAGAAACTCCATATGACAAATTCATTACTTTGGCTTAAGGCTTCATATACAAATAAAATAAAAATATGCTTTCTACAACTTGTTCCACCATTTCAAACATATCACACATCACTGAGACACATGAGTATAGCATATCCTCTCCAGAGGACACAATTTGAGAGACAATACAGGGTGTGGCAAAAGTAGGTTTATAGTTATGAGTATGCGAAACATAGTTTATTCTTATAGTATTATTATTAGTTATTGTATTATTTTCCATATGAACAAATGTAAAACTACTTTTGCCCCATCCTGTATGTATAGAGTTTGGTAAGAGTAATTAATAGCTGGGAGGAGATAAATGGATTTGGTCTATTTCTCCTTGTCAGTTATGTAATATTAATGATGATGATGTTGACAACAATGGTGAAATTTATTGACTATATGTGATCTCAACTTATTATCCCAACAAATACCATTTATTAACTCCATCCTACAAAATGAGGGAACTCAGCTACTGAGAATTATGTAACTTGTTCAAGATCACATGGCTAGTATGTGGATAATTAAAGTTTGTGCACTTAATCTCTGTTATACTGTGCTTTCTTGGAAAGAGAAGCAACTGTGGTATTTCTCTTTCATACATCTTTTTGAAACTAGACTGCTCACAGTGGACTTAGCTGGATATTATGACCAAAATCTCTTAGGTCTTTTGTTTCCCAAACAAAAATGATGGCAGCCAAAGGTACAGTGGCACCAGTAAAACATTTTTCCTGCATTATGTTGTCTGGAACCTGGTCTTTATGTCATGAGAACTTCATTCTCTAGTCTACATGCAAATGAGCAAAAAATTGGAATCACAGTAATTTTCAGAATAGAACCTCAAATGGAACTTTAAAAGTCAGCAAAATGTAACATCCCAGTGCTCTAATTCATTGCTGAAGCCAAGTAGACATTCCACACTCACATTCCAGAAATGGCCCTGCCCCTGCGCCCATGCATGGCCTGGAAAAATGCTTCTTATCCTTCAAGGCTCAGCTCAAATGTCACCTCCTTTATGAAGTCTTTTCTAGCCCCACAGGCAGAATTAACTGATCTTCCTCTGTGCTCCCCCAGAACTTTGTATTAGCAATGCTAGTATAGCATTTACCACGTTCTTTCAGTTAGTCATATAAGTAAGGTCATGGAGGTTAGAGACCTGTCTTATTCATAAATCCTTTTATCTGCATGTCCCCAGCCTAGCACAGATCACATTTCATTAAATCTAAAATCCCATTGATTTTAAGATAGATCGTTATTTTATGAACCATTAGGAAAGAAAAAATCTGACAATTATACTATGACATGCCAGTGATTTCAAGATGTGTCACAAATTCAGGGATGTCAAATTATTTTAAGTGTGTCTTAGAAGTTATTAACTATGGTAATAAGTGATCAGCTAATGTTTCTAGAGCTGGATTGTAAACCCAAGGAACAGCAGATATTTCTATAGCCATGTGACAGCCCATGCTTCCTAGTAAGGAAAGAACTGGTATTTGGTGGGGATTGGTATGCAATTGCATTGCTGATTTCAAGAAAATCCCAACAGATTAAAGGGATGAGTAGCCTAACGTGCCATTCTTGTTAAAAATAAAAATACCTCCACATCTCCAATTCGATATACTAAAAGGGACAGTGACAATATATTCTGATCAAAATTGGGAGCCACCTAATACAACAAGTGGGTGTGATTATGAAGACAATGGGACAGACTATTAGCATCTGCCTTGATTATAGTTCTTTAAGCCACCACAACCCACTGCTGTTCCCATCTACATAGGACAAGGAACCAGCTAGCTTTCTCCCAGCATATTGCAGCCCTGCTTTTAAAAATAAAAGCATCAAAACATATGAACCCCCAAGATCCAAACTGTTGGCTCTGTTACCTTGGCTTCCATTTCTCCTTAGCTCTCTGGATTTGGTGATTGTCTATTATCTCCCTGGCTAGTATCTGGACCTAGGTTTCCATAGAGTGGGCTTTGCTGGGGCTCAATATCCCAGGCTGTCTCAACAAGAATCTATTTTCCATCTTGCTGCTGTGGCTCAGTTGGTTGAGCATCATACTATGAACCAGGAGGTCACGGTTTGATTCCAGGTCTTAGTGCATGCCTGGGTTTCAGGTTTGATCCCCAGTAGGGGGTCTGCAGGAGGCAGCTGATTAATGTTTCTTTTTTTAAAAAATATATTTTTATTGATTATTTTACAGGGAGGAAGGGAGAGGGATAGAGAGTCAGAAACATTGATGAGAGAGAAACATCGATCAGCCACCTCCTGCGCACCCCCCACTGGGGATGTACCCGCAACCAAGGTACATGTCCTTGATTGGAATCGAACCTAGGACCCTTCAGTCTGCAGGCCAACGCTCTATCCACTGAGCCAAACCGGTCAGGGCTAATGTTTCTTTTTTTAAAAAATATATTTAAATTGATTTTAGAGAAGAAGGGAGAGGGAAAGAGATAGAAACATCAATGATGAGAGAGAATCATTGATCGGCTGCCTCCTGCATGCCCCACAATGGGGATCAAGCCCGCAACCCGGGCATGTGCCCTGACCGGGAATCGAACTGTGACCTCCTGGTTCATAGGAGCTCGACCACTGAGCAACACCAGCTGGACACTGATTGATGTTTCTATCTCTCCCTCTCCCTTTAGCTCTCTGAAATCAATAGAAACATACATTTTTAAAAATAATCTATTTTCTAGTTCCTTCCTAGTAATACAACTCCTCTCATCCTGGAACTGGGCAAGCCATACACTTATCTTTTCTGGATCTCCCTCCACCACACTCTTTTCCCACCCCTCAAACACACATTAGCACACCTACACACTCATGCAAGATAAACCAAGTTGTCACTTAAGACTTTAGATGGTGGTCGGTTGATAGAAATTCTCCTGGAGTAAAAGTTCTTTTTTAAAAATTAAAATATACGAAGAGGACTGAACCCAGTAGTTTAATTAATACAATTTGTGAAATATTTTAACATGTAAGCAGCTCTGCACACTAGCAGTCAGAGACTGGGAGTCTTTCTGGGGCAAGGACAAAGGCACAACTTTAAGGGGGTGATGAGGAAGACAGTTGAATAGGGCAAAAGAGTTCCTAGTTTGCTTTTGTACCTAGACTCTTGGTGAGAAGCCAGTGGCCAGCGAAAACCTGAAAGTCATCTTTCCCTTTGAGTGGGCTGCCAGTACCTGGGTTATCAGGACTAACTCAGAAAGTGCCAAAAATGATTATCTTCCGATTTAGTCCAGTCTTCCCATGCTAGGCAATCCCTGCTCAGCATTAAGGTCAGCGTAGTTTGTCTCCATTCAGTGCCTTCCCCAACATTAACAAGTAAAAATGAAACAAGATAAAGGAGAAGAAAGCAGCTCATTTACTCCCTCTCCTGATTTAGTAATGGCACAGTGTTTGGAAATGTTCAAACTATGAAGAACAGATTTTCTATGTTTCTTTGAAAGGGGGGTGTCAGAAATGTAGGTTCCCCTAAAGTACTAGAACTGAGTGCATCCAATGCCATAGGAGTTTTATTTCTTCACAGGTACAGTAACACTTGAGAATAAAATCACAAAACATTAGAAGCAAAAAGAATCTGGATGACAGTACTACTCCCTCATTTTAAAGATGAGGACTTTTAGGACTTTAAAATCCCCAGTTTGAGGATTTCCCATAGGGAAAGATACCTAAACCTTTACAATTGTATTCCACTCTCATAGTCTGTAATTACATTGGGTTCGTTGGACTTAAAAATTACATACAAATAGAGCTCCAATTACAAAAAAAAAAATCGTGATGGTTGATACAAACAAATACTACCCATTGTTTTCACCAAAGGATTGAGGCAGTACATGTTTATTCTCTAAAAGTGTAAAATAAATTGTCATTGCTCAGGCCCCTTAGAGGGCTGGATTCCTGTATAAATCAAACCAGCTCACTAGCAGCTTACATAGTTAACACCCAACACCTTTCACCTCAGCTGGTGATGTAAGCTGGGCAGGAAGTTTATAAACCCCCACCCCCAGCCTGATAGAACTTTGGAACTGTGTAAACAACGCCCCTTGGTGGTCAACATAAGAAAATGCAACAACCAATGCTGACAAATCAGGGCTCCAGCAAAAGTCACAGTCCTGTCTTAAAGTCATCTTCTAGTCTATGCGAATCTTTGCTGGGTCAAGGGAGAAAGCATGGGGGAAAACAGCAGGGGAGAGGAAAATCTGCATTTTTTCTGGAGATGTTTATATGTGCCTAATTAAGGTTAGATCTCAAAGAAAGCAGATACATTTTTGTATCCCATTGAGTCTGAACAGGCAGCTATAAGAGCCACAGACACATGTTATGCTTATATACATAAACATGATTTTTATTGTTAGCATCAATGAACACAGATTAAAGAATATTCACATGCCAAGGACATAATGCTCACAACATCACAAAAGGGCTACTGATTTGTGTTCATATATGATCTGGTGAATCACTATAGGTCTGAGTGAAATAGTATTAGAAAGATTTCTGACACTTCATTTTCCATTTGGACATCTGCAATAACTTCATTAGAAAGAGAAAGAAGATGCTTTGAAGTTGATATATATACTTTTTACAGATGTATGGATTCACCAAAAATGAAAATTACATCCCATTAAACACATTTTAAGAAGTATACAAAGAAAGCACAAAAAACACGGATTTGGTTTAATGGCTTGCCTAATTAAAGGCTTTTTAATTTTTTAAGTTTTAACAACATTCCCCTGTTACAGTAGAAAGGTGTTTTGTAAGCAACTCCAGGGCTCTGTTATTTCTTGCTTGCAAGGTCTTCTCAATTCTTAGTTCATTCTTGATGGCATCAAGCTCTCCATGGATATTTTCCACTTCTAATTCATAATGCAATTTTATTTCTTCTTTTAGGAGTGCATTTCCAACTTCAGTCTGATGTTTTAACTTCCTCACAGCTTCTTTTAAGTCTCTGTTCTCTAGGCTCAACTTGTGGATGACTTCTCTGGCTTGCTGGAGCTCTTCAGTTAAGTTTTTGACATTTGTTGCTTTTTCAGATAGGTCATTTCTTAAAGCTTGAAGTTCCCAGTCTTTCTTCAAAGTTTCTGCCCCTGTTTCTTGAAAATTTAGGGCTTTTGGGGAGACTTCCTTTTTGGCGTTCAAAAGTTCTTTTTCAGCATTTTCAAATTCCTCTTCTATTTTTCTGCATTTCATATTGAGCTCTTCCAGTTCTTCATTCAAAACATTCAGGCTAACATTTTGAGACTTTCCTTCAGTATATTTCTGCTTGTTGCCCTGTCGCCATCGAGACAGATATTCTTTTTTATTCCAGATGCAGTAGTCTTCTGTGCTATTAAAGCTTTCTTCAGTTGTAACATCCAAATTAGAGGATTCACAGGAGACAGAGTTCGTGTCTGCTTCATTCTTTGAAATGTTCATCTTTCTCCCTCTCAGATTTGGTTCTTGTTCTTTTTCATTTGGTTGGGAAATAAATTCTTTCCTCTGAAATTTATTCTCTTCTTGAAACTTTCTACTAGACATGTTGTAAATTTCTTCCATTCTCTTGGCCTTCCCAAAAGTCATTTGTTCAGGAGGAGATTCAGGCTGTAAAACCTCATTTAGAACATCATGAGCACTAAAAGAAGGAGCAAACATATTCTCTTTCCAGTGTTTTCTCTTATCATTCATTTCTTCAAGCACCTCTTCAAATTCCTGGAAAATAATTTTAATCAAAGCACATTATTTACACTGGCAGCTACTGTAGTGAAAAGAACTAAGAATGCTGTCTCATGGCTGAAGAAACCTAAATATTATTTGAAGACTGGTTCTCCTTATAACTCATGAAGTGGCCTGGGCCTCACTTTCCTCATTTGTAAACTGAAAGGGTTATATTAGCTAAGTTCTACAGATCCTTCCAGCTTTAAAATTCTCTGATGCTATGAAATATAACCAATAAATTGATACATTTGGTCATTAATTGTAGAAAATAATTCTATAAAAGACAACCATACACACGAAAACAGATTGCTTCAAAAAGAGTAAAAGTGATTTAAAATCAATAGGCCTAATTTTAAAATAGGCTAATACCTGTGCTTCCAATTTCCCTGATTTTCCTTCAGTTCTTTTTGGTTGGACTACTGTTTATTCATTCTTTAAAGTGACTAAAACATCAGGGCTTAATGCAATGTGAGCTGCTTTTGGTAAAGTGTACCATTCAAACTTCCTCATGACTAACTCTGCCAAATGCCCTTCTGTCTTGACCTGTAAATTCCTGCTATTCCAGTCTTGGGCTTTGCTTTTAGGCATGACTGCAAAGTGTACAGAATTCTATCCATTTTGACAGCAATTTCATGATGAGAACCGAATGTCAACAACTGAAAATAATACCACCAAATGTGTTTTTCTCAAGATATTGATTCCAAGTGTAGTTTTTAGGTGAAACCTTAGCATGCTAAATCATAATCAACTTTCTAAATGCATCAAAATTAGAGGATATTTATTTTGTTTCTTCAGTATTCAAAGGGAATCCTTAACATACAACTCTCTTAAAGCATGGAATTATTTAATTGGTTACTACTTCTGAGAGAAGGGAGAAAGAAGGAACCAGGCAACACACTGAAGGGCCACTAGCATCTGAAGCCAACAAACCAATAACTTAGTTACTGCTAAGAGTCAAAAGGAGGAGGAAGGGGTAACTTCATTTTATATATTAATTTTCTGTAATATATTTGTGGTATTACCAATGAGAAAGGTCAAATTATGCCTGCATCTATTTTTCCCATGCACACAAATGTAATTTTATCTTGGTAACAAAAAATGGCAACTGTTGTATTTATTTTTAAATTAATATTCTCTTTAATATTATTAAAGATTCTAAATGTTATAATAGTAAATTATTTAATGCATAATTTATATTTATATAATATTCATATCATGTAAAGATTATAATAGTAGTATTTGTTATTTGTGGAATTTTGGAAAATACAGAAAAGGAATCCCCTCATAATCCCATGGCCTTGAGATAACCACTTTTTGATATATTATCTCTAATACTTTCTTTTTAGCAAGAATAGTTTAAATTTTAATAGATGTCCTTGCTCCCAACAATGACCCTTCATATCTACATGTACTGAACATGCCTGACCCTCAAGGGTATATCTCCACTGTCAACTCACTTGGCTTTGAGGAAAGGGAAAGGTGCAAATATTCAGTAAAGGTGTTAAAATAATGGGTTCAAAAGCTATAAGCCAAGCTTTAGTAAAGTTTAGTCAATCAGACTAGAATAATAAGCTGCGACTTCAAATTTATGATATAGATTTGCCATTGGAAGCATCACCTCCTTTTTCTTGAAATAGTTCTGATTTTATTCTACTAGTCACCATCCAGAAGTACCTATGACCTATCTGTTATTAAAGAGGAAAGATAATCATATAATGCTGGTTTCTCTCCCCTCTAGTATTAAGAATGCAAATGAGTAGAGATTATTACAGCAATCATAAAGGAAACAGAAGAAAAAGATAAGATGGTGATGCTAATTGCCAGACACATTTTACATTTTTTATGTTTTATTTATCATTTTTTTAAAAATATTTTTATTGATTTCAGAGAGGAAGGGAGAGGGAGAGAGAGATAGAAACATCAATAATGAGAGAGAACCATTGATCAGCTGCCTTCAGTAGGCCCCCCCACTGGGGGAATCAAGCCTGCAACCCAGGCATGTGCCCTGACCAGGCCTGCAGTGGAGGGCAGTTGGGGGAACCAAGCCTACAGGGGAGGGAAGTTGGGGAGACCAGGACTGCAGGGGAGGGCAGTTGGGGGGACCAGGTCTTCAGGGGAGGGCAGTTAGAAGGACAAGGCCTGAGTGGAGGGAAGTTGGGGGGACCAGGCCTACAGGGGAGGGCAGTTGGGGGGACCAGGCCTACAGGGGAGGGCAGTTGAGGGGACCAGGCCTACAGGCGAGGGCAGTTGGGGGGACCAGGCCTGCAGGCGAGGGCAGTTGGGGGGGAACAGGCCTGCAGGGGACGATAGTGGGGGCGACCAGCCCTTCAGGGGAGGAAAGTTGGGGGACCAGGCCTGCAGGTGAGGGCCGTTGGGGGGACAAAGCCTCAGGGGAGGGCAGTTGGAAAAGACCAGGCCTGCAGGGAAGGGCAGTTGGGGGGAATAGGCATGATGGCAAGGGCAGTTGGGGGGACCAGGCCTTCATGGGAGGACATTTGGAGGGGACTAGGCTTACAGGGGAGGGCATTTGTAGTTGACCAGGTCTGCAGGGGAGGGCAATTGGGGGGACCAGGCTGCAGGGGAGGGCAGTTGGGGGGACCAGGCCTGCAGGCGAGGGCAGTT